ATATCCCTTCACCTTAAGCCGGAAGACCACATGAGTAGTATTTTGTTTGGGGATACTATGGTACCCAATAATATAGGGTTTAGGGCCCTATAATGGAGAATCAAATGGAAAAGAAAATGGAAAATAAAATGGAAAACTGGGATTATATTGGGGTTATATTGGGGATATAGTATTTTATTTGGGGATACTATGGTACCCAATATAGAGTAAGATTCGATCCTCCCTTTGGGGTATAGTATCTTATATAAAGAATATAATCGTTCTAGGTTCAACTACCAAAAAAGACACTACTCATGTTTCTTTGGGCTCCTCAGTTGGGTTGAGGGTTTGAGCGTTTTAGCGTTTAGCGCTCAACTTGAGGATTTTCTAGGGTTTAGAGGTTTTGAGTGTCTAGGGTTGATTATATAGGATTTTGTGTTTTAGGTTCAGGGGGTTAGGGTCTAAAAGTTAAGGCTTCTTCCTCTCTCGGGCATCCTAGATTCCTGATAACATTAGATTACAGCAAATAAGGGGGCCTCATCATAGTGTCTGACTCACAGGCAGGATATGTGTGGAGAATACTCATGATAATTGGTCAGGGCTAATTTTAGGGATGTGATTGCGACTCCCTAAACTGCTAAACCTCTAAACTCTGCCTCTTGTGCCGTGTAGCCCTGTTTTCATGTCATTTTCCATTCGACTTTTGCCGATGTGATTCTCCTCCCTGAATCCTGCACACTAGATGCTCCCACACAACCCCCAATGCCTCCCCCCCTCAGAAACCTGGCGTATGAAGCTAAACCCTGAGACCTGCAGCACGAAACCTCAACTGCCTAAACCCCGTAATCAAACACTCTTCACAAAGAAAACCAGACACCTGTTCTTTGCAATAAACTACCAGCTCAGCTGAAACTCTCCAAAAGGGAAAAGCCGACCTAAAAGGTTAGCCCAAGCCCTAGACTCCGAACCCTAAACCCAGAACCAGCAGCAAGGCACTGAGCTTGAACCTGTGGTATCACCGGACGGATGCTGTTGATGCGGTGACAAAAAAAGCGCCTATCCGTTGAGGAACTAGCTACGTTACCCCAACCCTCTTGGCATATCAGGCTTTAGTGTTTAGGATTCAGGGTGAAGAGCTAAGATTGAGCGCTCAGGCTTTCTGCCAGGACTCCTGAAACACCAGGCTTTGAAGTTACCGGATTGCTGTCAAGGATCCAAAGTTCATTTCCATAATACGGGCACATAGTAAATAGTACGGTTTTCTAATTCTAGTAACTTGATGTAAGCTCCCTCACAACAACCCAGGCAAGGGTGTAGGAACCTGTTGCGGATTGCATTTTTGGTCTATCTCCTTACCCGATTGGTCATGTAGGAATATAGTATATACTTTAGGCCTAAAGGGTTTCCCATATACCTACTTTGGGGCCCACGTATATATCATATTCCTACAGGGACCCTTTGGGTTAAACCAACTACCTCAGAAAGGGGCATCCCCTTCGGAACCTCTTTTGAGATTTTGTTTGTATTATAGCTCCAAGGGAAATATGGAGAATGATCCCTCGTGATAGACCTTCCAATCAGAAATTCAAGGGTCTTCATTTCAGATGCTTCAATGCCGTGTCTCATTGCTAGGAGGAAGGTCTTTTTTCTGCTTGTCCTTCACAAGGTGAAGCTGCACCTACCGTGGGCCCTAACGCTGGATATACTACCTGCATTGGGCTATTCAGTTATTTAAGGAGAGTCTTCAGATGTTTGCCTGTGGGAAGCTGCAGGTCCATCACAAGCACGAGGCCAGGGAAACCCGGCCGAACAAGTGGCCAGCATCACGTCAACCAGCTACGTAACTCAATCTCACTTGCCTCAACCCGAAACAAGCTGGATTAACGCCTAAGCTTTGGGGTATGGGGTTTGGGGAGCATAAGGGCAATTGCCTTGGGAATGTTTGTCTGACTAGACATTGAATCTCATTGAAGCTAGCTCTCGCCGAACCAGGGTTCCCGTGTTAGCTGCCGGCACTATCTTTTCCGAACCGTTAAGAAGGGGGAATGGAATACATGCGTAGGTGTACCCAATGTGGGAATACAGCATATACTTACTTTCATTTTCAAGTTAAGCCCTAACCTTATACCCAAACTCAAAACCGTAAATCCTATACCCTAACCTCTATACCCCCAAACCGTATACGTTGGGAGCCCCTTCCAGCTTGAACCCCTTATGGGACCGGCATCCGGAAGCTGCTGTTGCGGGGGCAACCTGAACTGAATCCCCAATTCTCGCTAAAGTTCTCAGACCCTCCATCTACCCTCTATTACACCATATGGGTGGTTGTCAAACGTATGGTCCCTGTCTGGGTACCCTAACTATTAGGTGCCGTGTTATAATAGAGATCCAAAAAAGGGACCATGATTTTGACAACCACCCATATCATACCCTAGATACCCACAATTAGGGACCATATACCCCTATCTAAGCGTACAGGGAGGGGCCTAGTTGTTAGGAGTCTCGCTGTTCGCCAGTAGTCCAAGGTTCGGAAGTTTTTTCCGGCTCTCATGCCGGAATGTTCTTGTGGCAAATGCTTGACCGTGCACATTGCGCAGACCAAGTGCCACGACTGCCACGGTCCCCCTCAAAATCCAAACAACGCGGCCATATCTGCTGGTCTACCAACCTGGGTCGTTTCATGAGGTTCCAGGGTTGCGAATATTTTATTACTCCTCAAGCACAAAGCCCAGGGCCGCAGCGAGGACGGCGCACGGCGCCTGGAAATGAAACAGAAAAGTGTCGAGGAAGTGATCCGTGATCAAGAGGAGGTTCTGCAGAAATTTAAGCTCCGTCCTCCAGGACAGTCAGCCATGGACTATGATTTGTTTTTTCAACCGCTGCTTCGCTTGCCAGGACCGGCCCATCCGGAGGTCTGTGGATTCCGTACCCGGCCCTGGCGCAGCCTCGGATCCATAGCTCCGCCAGTGGCGCTGCACCCCCCACACTTCCCGTCCCGTCACCTCCTCCCATACCGACGGGAGAGGGATCTTGAATTTTCGGAACTCCCATGCCAACAAAACAACGCAAAAATGATTCTCAAAAGAATTCCCACAGAGCATTGCTGTTTGCGCCCTGTTGCGTTTAAGGCATCCTCCTAAGCCTTAAACTTATTTCCGCAGCTTATGCTCAAATTTTGGAGAGGCCCATCACAGCCTAGGCAAGGAGGCAGACATGGCTGGAATGCTTCTGCTACTATTCGCTGCTCTTACTGCAAGCCCTTCAGCAGCGATCGACAATGGGCTGCTGAGCTTAGTCCATGTTCCGGCTCTTGGGAAGCCTGAATACCTCAAGCCTCCATGGGATTATGTTGGGGTTATATTGGGATTATTTTGGGATTATGTTGGGGTTATATTGAGATTTTATTGGGGGAATAAATGGAAAATAAAGTGGAAACTACTAAGGTAATGTTCTTCTTACATGAGTCTTCTTGCAGACTCAATTAAAGGTAGGCGCGTTGAGGCAAGGTGCACCCAGCTGTTGAAATCTGCAGGCGCCCGCTAGCGCAAGATCTACTTGGGTCTCCTTATTTGTGTTGCCGGCATCTGTGCCACGCAGTCAATGCCCCAAGCTATAACCCTTGGACTCCAAGCCAATGTCAGGTCTACTTAGACCTCTATATCCCCCCTTGCTTCGGGCACCCAGTTGTGCATGTAGAAGGTGCTAAACATAGACGTAGGTATCCAAAAGGGGGATAGGGTGTAGGGGTCTAAGTAGGGTTTGCTCCCTCTCTGAAATGTTTCTGTGGCTTGCTTATGCAACAATAAAACCCACGTAGCACTTTCTAGCAAAAACCCCTAGGCTCCATGTAGGTAGTATTCATAGACATTGAGGGCCAACATAAGTATTTTTATTAGACTTATAGAGCCCCAGGGACATTCTAGTTGCCATCGTACTCCTTCCTTGGACCCTAGAACCCCATTCCCTGCCAACTGACAGCTAGCAAGCCGACATTACATAAGGCTGGGACGTACGCCGCCCATGGGCTGGCGCTCATGGAACCTCTATGGGAGGAATATCACCCAGAGTCTTGAGAGAACAACTGTGAGGGTCTAGCTTCACGGCTGAGGGACTGAGGCTTCGAGGTACTATGAGTCGGCATGGGCCAGATGAAAGGTTCATATTTGGGAATATGTTAATATGTTGGACGCTTTCAGGATGGGTATATAACCCTGTATAATGCCGACCGACCACTTGCTGACTGGCTTCCGGAAGTCTCGGAGCCACGCGGTTTAGGGTTTAGGGGCAATTTGATCGGTTCAATGCATCAGCCTGGTTCCTCCTGAAGGAAAGGATTCCGGACCCTGGATGTCCTTCCTTTTGAGGGAGGGTTTTGTCCCACATGTTTGCAGGGTATGTCCCCGAAAAGGTGGGGACCTCCAGGGTCCAGGTATATCATCTCCTGTACCTGTCCGCGCAACCCATCCTCTCATTTTCTACCAGGCACCGGAATGAATTCTAAGGTAGCTTTTCGAACATGGGAGTTTCCAAAACCAAGCCCTTTTGTCGGGAGTCCGATAGAAACGGGTTGGAGCATATTGTGGACTCCGGAATTTAGATTGTAAGCGACAGACATATGGCAATTCCTGTCTAACCGACAAGGGGAGACTCCAGAATCCCTATGCAAACCCCCACATCTCCCTGGGGTTCTTTGGAGCCTGCTTTTTGAGAATCTTCCATGTGTCTTGCTGACTGAGCTTCAGTCGCATTTTGATACATTCAGGGTTTAGGGCTTACGGCCACAAATCCTAAACCTCATACAAACCCTAAGCCCAAGGCATAGACTCCTGTCAGGAATGTGATCCAGAACATCATGGACGGCGTGGTCTCCAAGAAGCGTTCGGTTGATGGCGTTCCAACATCCCTCTGTGACCTGGGCTACTGCGATGTGGGCGTGGATGAAGGTTGGGCGTACTGTTCCATGGACTTGGTTTAGGGTTTAGAGTTTATGTTACCCCTTGCGTCTAACGAAGATTCTTATAGAAAAAACTGGAATGTCAAACAGAAACTTAGGTTACATAGAGGATATACCTCCATTGGGACCCATTAATCCCTGAGCAGTACATGCGTGAAGCTCAATGGTTCTCTTCTTGGCAGTTCAGACTCCTGTGAGCCATCTTCCGTAGTGCTGTAATTTCAAAAGGTGGTGTTAGCTGGGATGACCCAAGCCCTGTCTTATTATAAGCCCCATGGGGTTAAACCTTCAGCCATAGTAGCTATAGTAGAGCGTGCATGCGTTCTTCGAAGGGTGGGGCCCCAAAAAGATGATCCATATTATGTTTAGGCTTTAGGGTTTCAGTTTAGGGTTTACGGTAAACCCTAAACCTGTAGTCCCCCTTAAGTAGATAGAATATGGGACATATGGGGATCTTAGGATCTTATTACAGTATAACAAGAGCCATTTTCTATCTACTTAAGGGGGACTATACCCTAAACCCTGAACCCTAAATAAAGTAGTTTCCATTTCTTTTCCATTATCCCTATATAATCCCTTTACGGAATTCTATGGTTTTTAAACTAAACCTTAAATCCTAAACCCTACACTATCCCAAGGGAATAGGCCTACCCCTATAATTCGATCGTTTACCCTAAACCCTATCCTATCCCAAGGGATTATCCCTACATAACTCCTATAATTCGATCGTTTACCCTAAACCCTAAATCCTAAACCCTATACTATCCCAAAGGATTGTCCCCAATTCGATCGTTTACCCTAAATCCTAAACCCTTAAACCCTAAACCCTAAGCTCCCCAAACCCAAACCAAGGTCCTGGGGGCCACAAGTACATGTACCATGACGACTCCGGCAAGCCCATCGTGGACGTGTCAAAATTTCCCAACATGACTGCCCCTGGGTTGAACTGGGGGTTCCCTTTCGGTTGGTTCAGGTCTGAGGCTTTAGGGTTTAGGGAAGGCCCCTGAATTAGCCCTACTTGCCCTTCAATAATCCTGATTATCAGGGAACTGGGGGTAGTAGGGGAATCCACAAGTTGATGAACTAAGTCAAGGTCAAGGAGGCATGGCCACGTAGATGATGAAGGAGGGATTCCCCTAAACCCTTTATGAAGCCCAACATGTGTTTGCGCTATGAAGCCCACAGCTCTTTTCCCTCAACCGCCGTCGCCTAATCCTGAACACGAACTCTGAGGTTGTAAGTCTATTGATAACACCTACATTGGGCATTAATGTCTATAAGTACTACTTACATGGAGCTTCAGGGTCAGGAAGGCCATGGCGTTTAGCCTGTAGAGTTGAACCCCTTGAGCCTGAAGGGCTTGGTCGCCATGGAGTCAAGCCGCAACCCATAACTTCAGTTCTGAGGCCATGGTGGCTCACGCGCATAAGCTTGGCTTGACTGCCGGCTGGTACGGGAACGTTTGTGGCCTTTGTAAAGAGAGCCAGGCGGGGTTAAAGGGTTTAGGGTTCGGGATTTAGGGTTTAGGTTTGCATGGGGCAGAAGCTTTGCATGAAGCCAAACTCTATGGAAACTTCTATTGAGAGTTTAGGGTTTCGGGTATAGCGCCTCGTTTGAAGCCTCAACCCTACTCGAGCTTTTCGTGTGCTCCTGCAGGGCGTTGTGGACTTAGCCAAACCAAAGTCTAAGCACCTAAGTGAAGACCCCTTGAGGTTACTGATGCTATGTATGCTGGAGACGTGGCAGCGCTGACTGCTTTCGGCTTTGATGCCGTGAAGCTGGACGGCTGTGGCAAGGAGAGAAGGGACCTCCAAATTCTCCTTCCCCCCTAGGGATCGAGTATCCCCACTGGAAAAAAATGGTACTTTGCTGGGCTTTGTTTGGGGTTTGGAGTCACGGGTTTAGGGTTCAGGGCTGTACCCAAGAACCCAAACCCTGTAAGGGTTAGAGTTTAGGGCTTTGGGATCGACGATGGGCGCGAAACATCCTCTCTCCCTTAAAATGAAGATGTCGCCCGCGAGAAATATCGAACTTATGTACATGGGGGTTGATCTCAAGGTCCTTTTTGGGGAAATGCTTAGGATTCCTCTAGGTCTATGGGGGAAGATGTGGGAGAAGTTATTCTCCACAGTAGCTATTTTGGACCAGCAATTTTGATCAGCTACCACAGTTATCAGCTTGTCCATGATTCAATTGCTAGTCCTTTTTCATAATATGATCAAAAACCATCTCCCAATTCAACTCTTTTCATAATATAACAAAACCATCTCCCAACTCTTGAAGCTACAAACCCGACAGTCCCCAAAACCTTTGTATGAACGTACTTTACACACAATTGTGATTGTTCTTTCCATTGGATCCTCCGCTAGTCTGCTAGCATTCTCCACAGCACGCCCTCAACCTCTAGCCCTGAACCTTAACTCGTAGTTGCCATTTTCTTTTCCATTCGTATGTAAGGCCTATATAATCCCTCTAATATATCCCTCTAAATCCCCATTTATCCCAAACCTAAACGGATGCTGCAGGAGTTGGACCTTGACAAGTGGGCAAGCCTGCTGAACAAAACTGGGCGCCCGGTGATGATTGAAAACTGCCACTGGGGAAAGACTGTTCCAACGCCAGAGTGGTGCCCATGGAACTTCTTCAGGAGTGTGTTTTGAAAAAGCCGGTTAGAGGGCTTTTTCTGGTATAAGGTATGAGGGTAGCGAAGTCATGGAAGACTGCGACCCTGCACGTAGAAGCAATTTGTTGGACTTCTTTTCTCAGATTAATCTGCCACACATTAATGCCCTCCCCTAACATAAAAACCACCCAACCCGCCTCATACAAAATACTCCCAATATATTATAGTAGACCACACAATGGGAGTATTTAAAATGAGGGGTGTGCTAATATTAGGGGGAGGGGCGTCAACCCTTGCTGGAACTGATGCCCCCTACAAGCTGAAGTTCATGTCCACAAGCCAATCTGGCGTAAGCAATGTTGCAAGTGAGGGCCAACATCCTCTGAACCCTTTACACCGTAAGCTGCCCTGAACCCTACGCACTGAAGTCTATTGCTATTACCATTACGTACTATTACTATTACTAGTACCATTAGTAGTACTAGTACTATCACTATCACTATTACTATTCCTATTACTATTTCTATTTTTGTTTCTATTTCTACTACTACAGCTTGGGTGCGAAGCGCGCAGACTTTGTCAGGACGTCGGGAGATGTCCGGGCATCCTGCGCGAGCGTTCTTGGGTCGATTTCGGATAGTGGGCTCTTAAGGTTGAAGGTTTGGGGTTTTAGGGTCTAGGGCTTAGGGTTTAGGGTTAAGGTCTTGGGGTTAAGATTAAGACGTGAGAACTTTGGGGCGTAAGGAATCGGCTTTCAAGTTTAGGGCTCTCAATGCGAAGCTCTGATGTCTGGAGGATGAGTTCTAATCCCTAAGCAATAAACTCTAATCCCTAAACCCTAAAGCCTAAACACCCCAAGAAGGAGAAGACCTTCAGGAGCGATCTTATAAACATTGGCTCAACAAAGTCTCAAGCATGGGTTCACCTACCTCCTTGGGGTTTGAGGTTCCTGCACAGAACCCCTGGGGCTCCCCGTTATTTAGCCTCAATCAGCTGAGTTCTCTCTCCTTCCCCATACTCCCTCTTGAGTAGCCCGAACCATCCCTGAATAACTCAGGTTGTCGGAGATCTTCCTGAAGACCCCACAAAACCCCACACCCTAAACCCTAAATCCCAGACCCTAAGCCCCAAAATAATTCAGGTGATTGGAAATCTTCAGACCACCGTGCAATGGGCTCAGAAGAATCTTTCACGACCAGGCTGCTGGGCCTACCCTGACATGTTGGAGGCCGGTAGCCTAAACTCTATTTATAGTCTGCAATAAGTAGATGGAATATGGCTTGGGTATATTAGAATAAGATCCCCATATACACCATATTCTATCTGCTTAATAGGGACTCTAGGTTTATTTAGGGGGTACAGTTGGGTTGCCATAAGTAGGGGACCCCAATATGAACCCCCAAATACGAAAATCCTTACAATGGGGACCCAAAAAAGATGCGTACCCTTATCCTGTGGAAGCCCCAAATCTCAGACTCTAAAGCAAAATCCTAATCCTTAGATCCTAGACACTAAGCCCTTAACGCTAAACCCTGACATTGCTTAGCCCTACGCCTTGAGCCCATCCCTCCATTCCTTAGGCTTGCTATCCCACATTTATACCTTAAACCTCAAGCCTAAAAAGTTGAGTTTAGGGTTTGGGGTTTAGTGTTGAGGGCTTGGGATTTAGGGTTTGAGGTTTGGGATTTCGGGTTTAGGGTTGAGGGCTTGGGTTTTAGGGTTTGAGGTTTGGGATTTCGGGTTTAGGGTTGAGGGTTTGGGTTTTAGGGTTAGGTTTACGGGCGCCCATGCTTGTGAATATATTGAGGTGTCTCGACTGAGGATACCCGGATACCCTGAAGGACCCCAACAACATGTATAGGAATTTATGAGGGGATTATGGTGATCCGCCTCAAGAACTACTTGCAGCCCAAACTAAAATCACGACACTAACCCAACAAAGGCAAATATTTTGCGTACTTCTGGCGTGCAGGTATAGGTTTTGGCAACGAGCACTGAATTCTTGGCCTGAAGACGGTTGAGGGTTTACCTGTAACCCCAATTAACTACGGTTTAATGGGTTACACCCACTAACCAGACAGTAGCTTCTACTAAGCTTTAGGTAATCGTGTTTACAGGTAAAGTTTAGGGTGGAGGACACAGACATTCTTATTTCTGGTATTCGCAGATAATGATAAGAACGTAGGAATCATTATCAATTAGAGGCTGTATAGGGACTACTATAGGGGTCCATTCCTTCAGTCCTGATTAATACATCCCCTCCCCTTAATAGGGCTTCTAATAGGGATCCTAATATTCAGGCCCGTAAAAGGAGCCAAAGGAGGGGGTTTATTAATCATGGGTTTACATTAATCATCTTACAGAAGCTCCCCAAGAAGGGATCCCAGGATTCGGGCAAGCTTCCACATCCCTGAGCCCTAAACTCTACATCCTAAACCCTAAACCCGAACCCCTAAATTCCCGACATCCTAAACTCCAAACCCTAGACCCTAAATTCCTTCAGTCCTAAACCCTCAACTTCTCAACTACTAAGCTGAACTCTAAACCCTTAACTCCCTCAACCCTCTATACCCCTAGATACCCCTATATAAGACCCCTATATCTCCCAATATACCCCTATATACCCCAACAACTCCCTAAATCCCCGAGCCCTAAACAGGTCGGTTGCCAGCATGGCCCGGGTGGTGAGCGGGATCCTGGCCTCAGCTACCAGGAGGCTGCAGTTAAGGGCTTAAGGGCTTTAGGGTTGTGGGTTTGGGGGTTGAGGGTTGATGATTTAGGGTTTTGGGGTTTAGGGATTTTGGGTTTAAGGGCTTTAGGGTTATGGGTTTAGGGTTCATGGTTGAGGGTTAAGGGTTTTGGGAGTTAGGGGGTCAAGGTTTAGGGTTCATGGTTTAGGATTCAGGGGTTTAGGGGTTAAGGGTTTAGGGGTTCAGGGTTTAGGGTTTAGGGGTTTCGAGTTAAGGGTTTAGGGGTAAGATCCCCTCCCACCAACACCAGTGGTTTCAGGGTTTCGGCGGTTTAGGGTTAAGTCTTACAGTTTGGAGTTTAGGGTTGAGGACCCGCTATATTGTTAGGATCCTTGTTTGGGAGACCAGCATGAACCCTAAACCGGTAACCCCCAAACTGCCCTAAAGCCCAAAGCCCAAACCCCAAACCCTAAACCAAGAGGACGCAGCTTGCATATACCCAAGGCCAAGATATTACGATATACCACACTGGGGTGTATTTAATACTGGGGTGTATTTAATGGAGGGGTGCATTTAACCTAAAACCTTAAAACCTAAAGGAGGGGGGGGTGTAGATAGGGAAAATACAGCCCAGCAAGGCTCGCAGCCACTTCAGCGCATGGGCCATTGTCTCTTCTCCCCTGACGCTCTCCATGGACGTCAACAATGACACCATCATGGATGAGACTGGGACTTGGTTGGATCTAAACCCTAAATAAAATCCTAAGCCCGAACTCAAGCCATAAATCCGAAACCTTGAAACCCAAACCCTAAATCCTAAAACGTGAAACCTAAAACTCTGAACCCTTAATCCTGCGCATCCTCAACTCTACGTCCTCAAGCCCTGAATCCTGAATTCTAAGCTCTAATTCCTGAACCTAAATCTAGGGCTTAGAGTTTAGGGTTCTGACTCCTAAATCCTAAACCTTAAATCCTCAGCCCCAACTCCTAAACCCGAAGCCCTTGGGTAAGAAGGCTAGAGGATGAAACTCCATCCTTCTCGGATGTTAGGGTTTGGGGTTTAGGGTTGAAGGTTCAGAGTTTAGGGCTTAGGGTTAGGAGTTCAGGGTTTAAGGTTTACAAGTACTACAGTACAGAGGCCTGACAAGGATTCGGGGTGTAGGGTTGAAGGTTTAGAGTTCAGGGTATAGGTTTTAGGCTTAGGATTTACCGGTACTATAGGGGCCGAACACGGATTTGGGGTCTAAGGTTTGGGATAATGGACAATCAAATGGAACAAGGACATGAAACGGAAACAAGGGTTATGTAGGAGTTATAAGAATACTCATCAGCATTATGGTCCTGGATTCCTGGTATGTTCATGAGGGTTAATGGCAGCACAACCCTGAAGACGTGTTCAAACACTGTGGCAGCAGACGCAGCAGGATCCACAAGTCACAAATCACCATACATGAAAAAATACAACTGTTAGGAATGCCACAACCCACTTTTGGTGCATTGGCTTCAAGGATTGGCATGGAGTTCCGTCTGCTCTGCATTCCAGCTTTCTTTAAGAATGAGATAGGCAGAATTCCAGGAATCATTTAGGCTCCCATAGCAGCCCAACCCGGACTCCTTGAACCCCACGACCCCAACCTGCGACCCTACACCCCACACGCTTAACACCGAAAAGCCTAGACGCCAAACAGCGGGCGTTGGGAAATCTGGGTGAGCCTTCTGATTCAGGAAATCGGGGACATCCTCACACCCTGAACCCCAAACACCCAAATCTTAACCCCAAAGCCGCGTGGGTGGGGAAATCTGGGACAGTATCATTTTAAACCCTAAACCTCAAATCCTGACAACCTTACGTAACTCCTACACCATGTGGTTGAGGCAATCTGGGACATCATCTCGAACAAAGAGATCATCGCTGTCAACCAAGCCTGGGCTGGACACAGCGGGAGCCCGTTCAAGGAAGCCAACAGCCTCTGGGTCTTTAAAGATGGGGTTCAGGGTTTAGGGCTTAGGTTAGGGGTTATATAGGGATAATGGAAAAGAAAATGGAAACTATTATAATGGGTTACATAGGGGTTATATCGGGTTTAATAAAGGTTTAGGGTGAATAATGGAGAATCAAATGGAAAAGAAAATGGAAAATGAAATGGAAACTGTGATCCTCTAGGGCTTTATTCTGGGTCTTCAAAGGTGATCTTTAGGGTTAATCATGGAGAATCACATGGAAAAGAAAGTGGAAAATGAAATGAAAGCCGGGATTACATAGGGCTTTAAAGGGTTTGTAGGGTTCAGGATTCTAGTGCTTTATTGGGGTAATATTGGTCGCTTGAGGTTTAG